CCCTAGCTGTGCCTTGGACAGTAATAGCCTTCTTCCCTAGCCAGTTATTTCTTGATCAAATGAATGAAGCTTAGGGTCTGATTCTGAAGATCCCAGGTTCAAACTTTTCTAACAGTCTGCCTGGGTGAGAATAGTGTATGATCGGGTAATGAAACCCACTATTATAATGCAAGTGCACAGTTAACTTAGCCCAAAGGACAAAGAGTTTACTCCAGCACTCCCTGACAGACTTTACCTTTCTTTGATACAGGCTTTAAGAAATGTTCACTAGGAGGGCAATTATAGGATTCTATATTGACTTGCATATTTACTCTTAGAATCATAGAATGTATTGGGTTGGAAGGGACCTATAAAGGTCATGTAGTCCAAACTCCCTACCATAAGCAGGGACATCTCCAACTAGAGCAGATTGCTCAGAGCTCCATTAAGGCTGACGTTGAATGTCTCCAGGGATGGGGCCTCCACCACCTCTCTAGGCAACCTATTCCAGCAATCCACCACCTTTTTCCTCTTGCCAGACTATGACTGTTTTGCCTTAAAATACTGTTCCTCTGCAAGCCTGCTGTAGGCTACAGGAAGTTTTATGTATATATGTATCCACATGCTGGAATACTGTAGTGAAAATCTTCAATTATTTAAAAGAACAAATGAAAATATGCAATTTTACATCTAGTATTTATGTCAGGGATGTTTTTTTCCTGTCCTGTGAAAATCTACCTGTTTGGCTCAGGCACACTCAGTACAGCTTATTCAGCTTGACCGTTTTCCAGGGATGTACTTGCTTTGGGGACCAAGAGGTGAGCCAGTGTCTTGTGCCCACCCTCTATGCAGTGGGCACTGGGGAAGAGGAGAGGGGCAGGGGTGGGAAGAGGGGATGTAAAACAGTGCCAGCAGGAGAAGGAAGGTCAGATCAAGAACTAAAGGTGGGAAGAGGAGGAGGACAAAATAGGGGATGAGGAAGACAAGGAGCTGAGGCAAGGAAGGGTGGTCTGGCAATGAATTTGGAGCCAGGCATCAGAAACCGGAGCAGGGGATGGAATGTGGGCCAAAATGGGCAAGAGAAACCCAGGGCTGGTAGGAGCAG